ATTTTAATGTTTATTTTTCTCTTATAATAAAAAATAAAAATTAATTTTAAATTTATCAACTTAAAGTAAATCAACTACACAGTATTGATATTGAAAATATGAGAGTAATAAACTTTTTTTTTTCTTACTAATTAATAGGGAAAAAATGGCCGGAAAAACCTTCCTTAACTATAGACTAGTGATACATAAAATAGGAGATCAAAATTTAGAGTGAATGATATTATATAATTAAGTTAATAAATGAGTTAATATATCTGATATTATATATTTTAAATTAAAATTAATTAATAAAATTAATTATTAAATAATATAAAATTTATTTTTTAATATTTTAAATGATATAATTTATACAAAATTATTAATTTCAATTATTAATTTTAAAATTTTGATCCCATCAATCATAATTCTTAATTATTCTTAATTATAACCCATTAATACCGCTTTGAGGATGTAAAAAAAAATTAATTATTAAATAATATAAAATTTATTTTTTAATATTTTAAATGATATAATTTATACAAAATTATTAATTTCAATTTTTAATTTTAAAATTTTTATCTCATCAATCATAATTATTAATTATTCTTAATTATAACCCATTAATACCGCTTTGAGGATGTAAAAAAAAAATTCCCTAATTTATCTACACTTTTCCACACCCAACGCACTCTATTCAAACCAATCAACACCCACCACGTCGACAAAACTCCCCCACCACACCACGTGTCACTGTTCAATTGGTTTTCCCTCTCCTCAGATGTAAACCTTCCCACTCTAGATACATTCCTTCTGCAATGCGACAAGATTTTTCCTCCCCCTGAACGAGTTTCTTTCTTCCTTTGCATATAGCCAAATTACACAACACAACCCTCCAAATCTAAAAGCCTATATCTCAGCTCGGTGACGGGTTAGTTTGAATCCTAAAGAAACAGAGTCAAGGTCATCGGAGATGGGTGGATACGGTGATCCAAACCAGAAGATAGACTATGTCTTCAAGGTTGTGCTGATAGGCGATTCAGCAGTGGGGAAATCGCAGATTCTGGCTCGGTTCGCCAGGAACGAGTTCAGTTTGGACTCAAAGGCCACGATCGGAGTCGAGTTCCAGACTCGGACTCTGGTTATCGAGCACAAGAGCGTCAAGGCTCAGATCTGGGATACCGCCGGCCAAGAAAGGTACTTACTACACTTCACCTACTAACTTCGTCGATGATCTTCTTTGTTGTTGTTGTCAAGCTTGTGATCGGTATATGTGTATGAAGTAAGTGTTTCCTTTTTCTTTTTCTTTTTAGATCTGTGGCTTGATGATCAATTTTTTGAGTAATTTCTGATCAAAGCTGTATATATAATAATTTATTCTTTTGAGAATAAATTTTTAATTACAGGAATAGTTAGACACAGTGAACATTAGTTTTTACAAATGGCATTAGTGTCGCATCCCGAATCTATATCAATTCGGGAAGCAATGATTGTGAGTAATATATAAGTGGCGGATCAATCACGAGCTCACTTGAACTTGAACATTTTGAGGGTCACGAGAATCTTGGTCTAAAGAGATTTTAGAACAATGTGCTAGGATGATGTTTGAAATGATTCACCAGCCTGATTATTGATTAATTCTGTGGATTCAAGATTTTTTCTCTTAAAGTTACCAATCAAACTGGGATAAGCAAATTCGTAATTTGTAATTATGTTGTGTGGTGCTTTGAACAGGTACAGAGCTGTTACAAGTGCTTATTACAGGGGAGCTGTTGGAGCAATGTTGGTTTATGACATAACCAAACGCCAGACCTTTGATCACATTCCTCGTTGGCTGGAAGAGCTGCGCGGCCACGCTGACAAGAACATTGTTATAATACTGATTGGTAACAAAAGTGATCTCGAAAACCAACGGGCAGTCCCAACGGAGGATGCCAAAGAATTTGCTGAGAAGGAAGGATTGTTTTTCTTGGAGACTTCTGCTCTTGAAGCAACTAATGTTGAGACTGCTTTCCTAACCATCTTGACTGAGATCTTCAACATTGTCAACAAGAAGAATCTAGTTGCCGATGAGAATCAAGGCAATGGCAACCCTGGATCCCTGGCTGGCAAAAAGATCATCGTACCAGGCCCTGCACAAGAAATTCCTGCAAAGAACCAGTGTTGTACATCATTGTGATCCGTTTTACATTTCATTGCTTCAAATGTATGTCAGTTTCTTAGTTCTACTTTCTTAGATAGCAATTTTTGAAAAGGTGTGTCAAATATGTTTGTTTATTTTCATTGCATTAGTTTGCATGGGCAGTTAAATTACTTTGCATGCTTTGAGATAAGGAATAGAAAAACAGAATGTGCTTGTTAATCAATGTCTGATATTATTGCTAATTTCTGATTATGTAACCTTTTTCTTGTGTTTCAATTTTTTGACAATGAATGAATACATTAGTTGATCTATTTTTCTAAGAAAA